AGGGTCTGGCTCTTTGCAAGCGCTGTTTGGGGGTCGGGGCGCTGCGTGGGCCCCAGACTGGGCCGCTCTAGTATTGGCGCTGTTGGGGTATCGGGTGCCGTCGTCGTCGTCGTCGTCGTCGTCGTCGTCGTCGTCGTCGTCGTCGTCGTCGTCGTCGTTATCGTCGTCGTTATCGTCGTCGTCGTCGTCGTCTTCCGCAGTCCTCCTTTCCTCTTGCCTCCCTCGCCCAGTGGCTTCCCCTGTTTCTTCTCTCTTCCTCCCCTCCCCGCCCTCTCCCCCGCCAACCTTGCTTTCCTCCCTCCCTCCCTTCCTCCTTCCACTCCCTCGTCCCATCCTCTTCCCTCCCCTCCCCCTCCCTCCCTACCTCTCCCCCTCCGCGCGGGGGCGGGTGGAGGAACAGGTGGGGGCGCGACCTTCTACGTTGCCCCCCAGAAGGCTGCGGCGACCGACAGCGCGTCTGCCAGCTCCCCCATAGGGCGCCAAAACTGCCCGCGCACTCGCGAGGGCGTGCCCAAGGGGGACTGGGCGGGGCAGGGGGAGGGCACTTGCCCAGCCGCCGACCGCCGCCCTGACGCAAGCGCAGCCGGGCCACTCGGCGCCTGGCCCGGCACAGCGCTCGTTGCCGCTCGGGGGGGAACATGCCGTGACCTGCTTTGCCCAGCGCAGGCCGAGCTCCCCATTCGAGATTTGCAGAACCAGATCTAGAACCAGGACGAGGAGGGGGAGGAGGAAGAGGAGGAGGAGGAGGAGGAGGAGGAGGAGGAGGAGGAGGATGGGGAAGACGAGGAGGAGGAGGTGGAGGAGGAACCAAAGCGGTGTGCAACGCCGGCGGCCTGCGCAAGCCGCGGCGGGCGCAAAGCCGCGCGCGGCGCCGCGCAGGCCGCAGTGCATTTTTCTGGCGCTCCGCGCAGATCCACGCAGTCCGCGCGGGGGAAGAGCGGCTCCTCCAGGTTCAAGGGCCTTGAGTCGAAGACGAACAAAAACGCTATGAACATAAACTGTTCGCGCTCCGCGCGGATCTCTTGGATGCGGGCCGCCCCCTCCTGGCGGCGCCCCCGGCGCCGCCCCTGGCGCGCTCCGCGCGCTGGGGTTGATGGGTGGGTCCAGCGCAGATCCAATCTACCCGCGCGGATCTCCAACCGCTTACGTTGATGCCATTTGTTTTCGGTGCGAGATCGAGGTCGGGTCGGGCAGGGTGCCCTGACGTTCTTCGCGTTGGTTGGACGTGCTTGTGTGTCCTTGGGGGGGTGCCCTCGGATGTGCTTTTCAGGCTGGCGGGCGGGGGCTCTCGCGTTCTTGAGGGTTTGGTTTTGCCCTCGGTCCGACCGTGCCGCCACCCTTGCCTCGTTGTCTCTTTTCGTGCGTCGCCTGGGAGGCCCTCGTCGCCGCCGCTGGATTCGCCTCGAGGTCCTGGTCAGACCGCGACCCGGGAGAGGTCCAGGGAGCAGTGGTATCGGTACCTTTTACGCATCCCCAGATGAGGCACAAAGCAGACGCTTTAGGCCTCCCAAGCGGGGTCCGAGCAGACGGGGTCGGAGGATCGCGCCGCATCGCTGATGCGTCGCCGATGCGCCGATGCGGCTCGATGTGGAGCCCGCTGTGCTTGACGCCGACGTCGCCGATGCATCGCCGATGTATCGTCGATGTGGTGCGACTTTCCGGCCCCACCAACCCGGACCCATTTGGTGGGAGGCCTCTAGACGTCAGCGTTTGTGGGGCTCATGGTTTCTGGGGTCGACGGGAGGGCGGCCCGTGCTGGGAGATTCGGCCAAGGGGGCAGCACCGAGCGCTCGCGCGGGCCTCTGTCATGCCAGGACGGGGCGCACACCTGCCAGACCCCAGCACACCTTGAACACGCACGTATAGATACGTACACACACACACATACACGCACGGACGCACGCACGCACACACAGCACACAGCACACAACACACAAAACACAACACGCACACAACACATAACACACAACACACAGAGAACACACACAACACAACACAGCACCCAACACACACAACACACACAACACACACACACACATACACCACCACACAACACACACACACACACCGCACACCACACGCACACTTCACACTACACACCACACGCCACACACCACCGACCACACACCACACACCACCATTCACACACCACACACTAAGAGACACGTACACACACCAACACACACACACACACACGCACGCAAACACGCACACACATACACACACACACACCCGTAAACACACGCACACACACACACACGCACCCGCACCCCCACCCCCACATCCACGCCCACTTCCACACCCACCCCCACACCCAAACCCACATCACACACACACACACACGAACACACACACACACACACACACACACACCACACATACACACAACCCACACACACAAACCCGCACACACCCACCCATACACACACAAACCCACACACACACCCACACCCACACACGCACGCACGCACGCACGCACGCACGCACAGCACGCACGCAC